GAGGGAGAAGCAGGCTCCCCGCTGAGCAGGGAGCCCGATGTGGGACTCGATCCCAGGACCCTGGGATCATGACCTGAGCCGAAGGCAGCCGCTTAACCGACTGAGCCACCCAGGCATCCCGAGGATAACTATTTTAACAGCATTATAAGAGACAGGATTAAGTACCCCAATAAATAATTTCTAGCTTACAAGGGAAAATAAATTTACAAGCTATTTTTTATCTAAGATACCATCAATTGTAAGGTGCACCATATATATAACTAAGAAAAAACACGGGCATTAAACTGACACAATGCTTTCATACCGTGTAGGATGTTTATATTTATTGAAACGGTTTTTAGAGTGAAGCAGATGTTTAACACATCAATCTTGTGCATACCCAAAAGAAAGTATATGAAGTTAACTGGTTAGGTTATAACTATCACCTCATATTCTGAGTCCAGCTCTTCTGAATCACTTCTCAAATCACAGCCATGGATGTCTGCTTTCGTCCACGTAAGAGCACCCGTGGGGTGATCAAACGCACTGGGGATACGGTGTTTCTTGAAAGAGTGCTCCACCACCATCTTCTGCTTAATGTCAGCTGAAAGTTCTGAGCAAAACGAGGTCTGCCGCCTTAGAGATAACCCTGCTCGGCGCATGAACCGGTCACACCAGCCTCTGGTTGCTTTGAATTTTGTTTCGTCTATCCCCAGGGTTTTGGCGATTTCTCCTGCCTTCGATCGCATCGCTTGGCGCGTGACGGGCAATGCTTTCGCACGCATCTCGCTAACAAAACGTAGTACAGCTTCATCCACCTGTGGGTATCTTCCTTTCTTAGGCCCTGTAAAGCACTTTGTTGTTGCTTTACAAGAAAATATGGAATGGCGGTCACTCCTCCAGCGCCGGATATTTGCTTCACTAATCCTGAACGTTCGCCCCGCTGCCCTATTTCCATGCTTTTCTGCGTACACAATCACTTTTCGTTTCAATGCTGAATCATAGTGCAATCTTTTTGAAGACATCTTTAAATGCCAATTACACCTGACACTTTTGGTACCAACAATACAGTGACGATGCTGTGACAAGCCGTTAATAAGTTCCCACCCACGCAGGCTGCGATAATTACGTCATGACCCTCTCCTGGTTCACAGTAATCATGAGACACATCCCAATTTTGGACAAGGTAAAATGTGAAAACAAAAACAAAAATACAATATACATTACAGAATTAATAAAATACGGTTTTCTCAAGCCTGTCATGTTTACCAGATTCACACCAGTGCAAGAAAATAAGCCCGGGAGCCAGAGAGTTAAGTATGTAAGTAGAAAGCTAGTGAAGCAAAAGATTATCTTTAAGATGAAATCTGCAATGGTCTGGTTTGGTTTTAATTCCCTTTATTTTCATATGGCTTACATATAAATCTTTTTCTTTTAATTGGACTTAACATCCAAGTAAAAATGTTCTTCGATCTTTTACCAAACTGCAAAGCCAGGTCGTTAAAGACAGAGGCTCCCCACTGCCTTTCGTCATTCACTAGTATGGGACTAGGGCTAGGGTCAGTGGCCTTCATCAGCGGGTGCCCTCCTTTGCCGAGCAGATCTGATCCTGTATGAAGATGATGAAGTGTCTTCTTCGGTCTCAGAGCCTGACGGCTCATGATCTCCCTCCTGAGATCCTGTGTCTCCCACCAGTTCCCGCAGAAACTTGAATTTCGATAAAAAAAGGTGCCATACAAAATACCAACCTAAAAAGGGAGAAACATGAGGAAAAACTATTACACACAATATTATCAATGGAGGACATGCTAGTTAATTGTGTATGTGTCGGGGGAATATTACAAAACAGTATGTATAGTATCAATATATATGTGATTACCAATATATATTTATATAACAAACACTTACTAATCATTTACTATGGACAGGCACAAGAATAAACTCTGACATTATACAAGGAAGGCAGTAAGTTTCTGCCTTCATGGAATTTAGAATCCAAGCATGGTCTATCTACATTAAAATTATGATGACATTATGATATCTAAGTCAAAGTGTTTATTATATTAAAATCAAATTTCTGAGAGAACTTCACTAGGGAAAAAAGAAGATACTTTGCATGTCCTTGGGACAGTCATGTCTCAATGCTAATACTTACTAAAAGCAAGTCTGCTCTGTTTGCAATGTGAAACCATTAAATGGCAGGGGTCAACTGCACTTCACTGAGAACTTCTGTCAGAGTGAAGCTATTCATAGTTTCTAGAAATAATACATTTTTAAAGAAAATTAATACATTTTCTTTAATTACATGATGAAAGAACAAAGCCAGACCACTACTATCTGAAGTTCAAGATTTTTAAAAATTCTGTATATTTTCATGTCAAAGTCATTAAAAAGTCTGAACTCTCCTTAAGAATAAAAATTACTAACCATGTTTTGTTTTTGCAAGGAGTTTGAAGTTCACTACATTTTAGATGCCCACAAATAAGGATCAATAAAATGAGTACACAGGATAAAACCTCTGAACCCATGACTAGTTGCTCTGAAATGTTAAGCGCATTTTAAAACAAACAAAAGTAACCACTGTAACAAAGTTTTCCAGGCTAGTGTGCTTTACTGATGCCTTCTGCTCTAAACTCTCTAGTTTAGTAGAAAAGCAATGTACCATAGCATGTTCTCATGAGTAGCAGTTTATGAAGACAAAATCCAAGCAGCTTTTCTACCCCAGCACTACACCCAATCAACATGAATGACCACTTAAGGAAGTTTCTAATTCTACTTGTTTCTTTCTTGCAGTCTCTGAAGCAAAAAAAAAACAAAAGAAAAAAGACCAACATAAGTTCCTTGGTATTAAAAGACTAACTTCAGGGGTTTAACCCTATTTCTCAAGGGTATGCTTTCCCTGAAGCTTGAGCGCTGAATGCTAACTGAACCAAGCCACAAATGTACTTCGGTCAACCAAAAGTGTGAGTAATGCACTTAACTTCATAAAATAGTATTTTCATAATATTCCAAATTAGCACGCTCCCATCTTCACCCACAATTCTCTGTAAAAGTGGGCACACCAAATTAGCAGAAAGAACTCTGGAGGAGTCAGAAGCCCCAGTTCTGAGAGAAGAGTCAGAAGCTACTGTGGGAACTAAATGAGAAGGGCTCTACAGGGCCGGGAAACCATCAACATGATCAAAGCCCAGAACACTTGCATCAAACCCAAAAGAAACCCCATATCCATCAGCAGTTACTCCCCATTTCCTCCTCCCCCACCCCTGGCAACCAGTAATCAACCTTTCTGTCTCTACGGATTTGTCCATTCTGAGCATTTCATATCAATGGAATCACAATATGTAGTCTTGGGTCTGGCTTCTTCCACTGACCTATACTTTCAAGGTTCATCATCCATGTTGTTACAGGTATCACTTCATTCCCTTTTTATCACAGAATAATATTCCATTGCACGAATACATCACATCTGGTTTAACCATTCAACAATGAATGGCCATTCAGGTAGCTTCTACTTTGGGGTTGTTATAAAACAGTTTCTGCTTTTTGGCTGCAGTGACCATTTGTGTACAAGTTTTTGTAGAGACCTACTTTCATTTCTCTTGCGTATATATCTAGGAGTAAACTGCTGGATGAGGTGGTAACTTTATGCTTAACGATTTGTGAAACTGCTAAACGGTTTTCCAAAGCAGCTGCGCCACTTCACATCCCCACATTTGGAGCTGCATGAGGCTCCAAATTCTCTACATCCTCACCAAGACTTTTCATTGTCCACCTTTCCCATGACAGTCCACCTTTCCCATGACAGTCATCCTAGTGGGTGTAGCACTGTGGCTTTTATTTGCATTTCCCTCGTGACTAAAGATGTTGAGCATCTTTTCACATGTTTATTGGCCACTTATATACCTTCTTTGGAGAAATATCTATTCCATTCCTTTGCCCATTTTTTAAATCACATTGTCTTTTTAATGAGTTTTAAGAGTTCTTTATATATTCTTGATACTAGACCTTTATTAGATATATTATTTCCAAATATTTCCTTCCACTCTGGGTTGTTTTTTCACTGTCTGATAATGTTATTTGAAGTATAAATGTTTTTAATTATGATGAAGCCTAATTTATCATTTTTTTTCTGTAATGAAATCCAACTTACCGATTTTTTCTTTGGTTGCTTGTACTTTGGGTGTCATATCGTATCTAGGGAACCACTGAATAACCCAAGGTCATGAAGATTTACACCTATGTATTCCTCTAAGGGTTTTAGTTGTAGCTCTTACATTTAGGTCTGATCTATTTTAGTTAATTTTGGTATGAGAGAGAGATTCAAATTCATTCTGCATGTGGATATCAAGTTGTTCTAAAACCATTTGTTGAAAAGGCTTCTCTTTTCCCCATTAAATTGTCTTGACACCTTTGTCAAAAATCAAATGTCCTGGGCGCGTGGGTGGCTCAGTCAGTTAAGCAACTGCCTTTGCTCAGGTCATGATCCTGAAGTCCCAGGATCAAGTCCCACATCCGTCTCCCTGCTCAGTGGGGAGTCTGCTTCTCCCTTTGCCCTTCACCCTGCTCATGCTCTCTCTCGTTCGCTTGCTCCCTTTTTAAACCTTTAAAAATCTTTAAGAAAAATAAAAATAAAAACAAAAACAGTTTAAAAAAATAATAAAAGGACCATAAATTGATCTATACTATCTCTATGCCAGTACCACACCATTTTGATTACAGTAGCTTTGTATTTAAGTTTTGAAATTGAGAGGCGCCTGAGTGGCTCAGTTGGTTAACTGCCTCTGGCGCAGGTCATGATCTCAGGGTCCTGGGATGGATTCCCAAGTCAGGATCCCTGCTCAGCGGGGCGTCTGCTTCTCCTTCTCCCTCTGCCCACCCCCCACTCCTGTTCTCTCTTGCGCTCTCTCTCAAATAAATAAAATCTTTTTAAAAAGTCTTAAAACTGAGAGTTAAAGTCTACTATCTTTGTTCTTTTCAAGATCATTTTGACTGTTCTGAGTCCCTTGCATTTCCATGTAAATTTTATAATTACGCTGTTGATTTCTGCAAATAAGGCAGTGAGAATTTTGATAGGGATTATGCTGAATCTGCCGATTAATGTGGGGACCCTACACAGTTTTTTTTAATACCTCCCTGTACTTACAAGATTTTTCCACAATAGACAAACATGACTTTGATAAATAAAAAAATCAGGAAAAACAAGTCAGAAACTAATAAGTAAATCATGACTACTCTATAAACTTATGTTTTAAATATGCCAATGCCACTAATTGGCCTAAACTATTAAAGCCAGTTGATTTCAACAAATACTAAAGAAAACCGTTAACTCTTAGGTTAGTTTTGACTATCAAAGTCTTGACCTCATAAAGAACAAAGACTCCAACAGTGGCTACAAGGTGTAAAATGACCATAAAGAAAAGTAGGGGAGTACTCTTCTGACTAAAAAGAGACTATGGTGAAGGGCTGGCATGCTGGATACTAGAGTGCCCCTGCAGTGATGGTTAAGACCGTCTCCTAGCACAGAAATCTACACAGTAAGGAACTAAGGACAGCTGTGGCAGTCAGTTTGGGAAGGCACAAAAGCATTCAGCTAGATCACAAATTCTTTCTCAACTTTAATGAAACGAACCGCCCCCCCCCTTAATTTTTTTAATCACTGCCAACAACCTATGCAAGGGATTCAATCTCAAATCAAAAAATTCAGAATGTGGTTGCCAATGAGGTGCTGAGTTCAGAGCAGTAAGTTATGGCTACGACTACCTCCATACACACAGCTAAACCACTCCGTTCCACACCTCTCCTTTGTATCCCCCAATCTGGGATAAGAAAACTTGAGAAGCGTGCTCATTTTCCCTATTTGGTCGGGGTGTTCAGATATGCAAGGGTCGGGAGTGGAAGGGGAGCGTGTGGTCAGTGACACTGCTTCCCACAAAACATCGTAAAGTAGAGAAGCCCCTGACTGAGATACAGAGTTCGTCCGCTGGGCAGCCAAAAACGAAAGGATAAACATTCACCGGGCCGGTGTTTTACGGACTAGTGTAACAACAGGGTGGGAACGCAAAGCTAAAAGATAAATAGTGTTGATAAGAACTGCAGAGGTATTTGCTAAACTGAGGGAAGTTCAACAAGCTGTTCTCCAAGTAAAATGACTCAAGTTCTAACAGCTATAATTTTTCAGAGACAGATGGCAGAAGGAAGTGGGGGAAGGGAGTTTCCATATCACAGTACCTACGATTAGTAAGATCTCATGCTTCTACAGAGTATTATTAGTCTGAACAAAGGAGGATCCTAAAAACTTCAGGCAGTTTGATTAAAAAAAAAAAAATTATACACACAATCATTTATTTTAGGGAAAAAACCATTATTAAAATCCCAATGGGTATATACCAAGGAAAGCATGACACAGCAAAGAAGAAACTAAGAGAGGAACTACTACAGTGCCACATAAAGCTGCTAATAAGACAGTTACTATGTTAATTACACATTTTTTAAGTCTGGGACAGGTACTGCAAGGAAATGCTTTGCACATATCATTTAATGGCCGAACTGTCACTCAATTTAACTAAACTGTCCATTCACATACTTCTGGAAGTTGATTAATGGGGGCCCTGCTCTATTCATCTATAGTATTTTAGTTATACTGGTCTTATGATTAAAAACAAAGTAGAAAGTCATATACATAGTTCATCTCCTCTTCTTTTAATAAAGCAGCTTTTAGGTCAAGTAACAGAAACCTTGACTTATCTTC